TCTAGTTTCACCCCAAGGATGGCAATCCCGTTACACTGTACTCAAAAGTATACCCTGCCCTGTCTCTACAGCCTGGCATAGAGCCAGATTCTGATTTACAGCATTCCAGTTTTATTACAGACTCTTGCATTTAGTTCACAGCAAGGGTCCCTTTTGTACAAAACTGTGCATCATTCTGATGTTATGGACACTACACACTCAACACAAGAATGACTTACAGAAAAATGTTGGGCTCTTGAATAAAATGCTTGATCTGTCAAATGAAGTGTTCACAAGCAAGCTACCAGAAGCTTGATAAGTATACTCATTAAACTTGGCATATTATACATATTTACAATTTAACACATCTTTAACATGGAGAAATAAACCTCTTTCAACAGACAGTACTTTATTCTCATCCAAATGTACCAGTTTCACTTGGTGTTGTGCTTATCAGCGCATCGCTTGGACTGCAGTAAAACCTGACCTCCTAGAACTGTAGTCCAGCAACATTTGTGTGCTAAAAGCTGATGTAGATCACCATTGTCCTAGACCAAACTCTCAATTGGTTCGTTTAAAGTTCATGTTGCTACTTCAAGTACGCGCATGAGAGAGAGGAAAGGGGGAAAAAAACCCACCACAAGATCCAGACACAAAGAGAATGGTTGAAAGAAGAGGTATTTATTACAAAACTAAATTCCAAATTCTACCTCATTTTCTGTCACCTCCTGTACAAAATACATTTATAGCTGAAGGGAATATTCCCTCATCCACACTGTATGGCGCAGTAATTACACCTTAGTTAGAAGACATTCAGTTCACGGACAGACACACACACATACACATGCAGCATTAATAAGAAAAGTCCAGAATATAGGACAGAATTACAAAAGAACCCCTCTCACTGCTGCTCCAAACTCTTGCTCCGTCAGGGGCAAGTTCTCCAGGGATGGCTCTAAACAGTGCCTCTTCTAAAACACAATAAACTCACTTGGCAAAGGTTTAGGACCAATTACAAATTTTTAGCAGGAGTGGTTTCTGTGCTAGTATGTCCCCTACATCAAATACTATTTGTGACAATCATAGCCCTTGACATTCAAGTAAAGAGCATAATGGAGTTCAAGAAGTAAAGCAACTCACAACCAACCACGCAACCAAGGTCTTAGTACTTTAGAGAAGATAGAGATGATTTTCAGTCCTGACTGCTTGCAGCTCACAGTCCCCTGAAGAGTGCAAGTGCGCTATGGAGGTGGTGTTCTTATCCTGAGCCTTCCTTCCCAGCAGGAAAGAGCCTTATGATGTTCTAACAGACCACGTATTTTTTCCTTTCACGACACACACTTGCCAATATGTGGAGTCAGTTGCTGTAAAGGGGAAAGAAAAAAAAAACCCAAAACCCAATCTTACCTATATTCCCCAGCTGGCAGAGGCTCAGGGCACTGCCATGGAGATTTTCACATTTCCAGCAGGATTCTGAGAGGAGGAAACAGTGTTATAATGGCCCTTGTGCGCAGCGTGCCAGCCCAGAGAGTAAGTTACACAGGCGCGGCCTCTGGAAGGGAAGCCACTAAGCATGGTAATGCAGAATTTCAGGTAAATGCCTGTGCCTCCGTGTTGACAGCTGGCTCACTCCCAAGCCCCTTCAAAACGATTCTCAGAGGGATACAGGAGGGAACTGTCAAATAACACATTTGTTTACCTTTCCATAACAAGGTTCTGGTTTTGCTCTCAGTGCATGTGACAGGTATTCATCCACTCAGGATACTGAGGTGTCCTGCCCTACCCCTTGTTCAAGCATCCCTAAGAAATGGATGCACAGCCTAAAAACAGGAGGAGAAGCAAAGACATGTTCTGTACTTTGGGCATACTTGAAGAAGTGGAAGGAAGGAGTTATAAAAAGGTAGATTCTGTCAATGTCCTTTATGCATCAGTAAGATCTTCCAATCAAGATGCAAAAAGAAAACTCTCTGCAGATGAGAGTGTGGTGGTGGCTCTCCCACCCCCAGGGCTGTGAACAATGCTAGTAAGCAGTGCATGACACAAAGTCCTCCACCTGGACCAAGGGAAACCCTGGCACAGGAATCTCCATTCAAATTCTCCTCACAGTCACATCTCTGTCTCATAGCACGAGCAGTCCAATTCCTGGAAATAGGCCAGTCCCCACTGCTGGAATAGCTGTGTGAGCATTCATGTCCTGAAGCTACTGTTAACAGAAACCTCTTAAGATCCAACCCTTGGACTCTAGAGGGAGCAGAGAAAATGTCTGCCCTCTAGTCTTCAAATGTATACTTTTAATACTTTTAACTCCAGATTTAAAAAATAGAAAAAAAATTAATTCTGCTGGTTGCTCCCTCTTGTGGAATAGCCAGACTTTTTCCCATCCCCTTACCAGCACACAAGGCCTAAGAAATAGATTAGTCTCAATGCCCTTCAAGTGCTCTCAGAGGATTTCTGAAATGACAGTCCTAAAGAAAAACAGACCTTTGTCTGTACTGAAACAGAAGCTGGGCTTATGCACAGGAAAGTGGAATGGGAGCATGATATTTGCTGGCCAATCCCCAAACTCAGCTGCAAATCCCCACCCAAAAGTTCATTAGTAATAAAGTACAGAGGGACTCTGGCCAAGGAACCCACTGGGCTCATCTTCCTCAGGTAGCTCCTACAAAGCTGACCCCCTCGTAATAACTGAAGTAACCAAGGTTACCGAGTCAATTTTTGCTTTCCCACAGATTTAATTTGATGAATAAAGAGCATTAGAAACTGTCATTCCAAAACACAAGTTTCTTAGGGTTCTTTTGTTGTTGTTAATGTTAAGGGCAAGTGTGTGATTGTATGTGCTGGAAAAAACCCTGCACTTTAAATCACAGCTTTTATCAGCTCTTCTGGCAAATCCTCCCCATGGCAATGGGACTACCCTAGGGAAAGCTCATATTCAGGATAGCAAGGTATTAAGCCAATAATCTCACCAAGAGTAGAAGATGCTGAATCATATTCCTACAAAGGCAGCACAGCACTGTCTGCCTGCCACATTGCCAGCAGTTAACAATTCACAGCTGCTGTCAGATCAAGCAGGATCTGAAGAAGTCTGCAGCCTTTCCCCTCATCTTCTTGCATATATGTCACCTCTGTGAACCCCTGGTTCATGCAGGTGGGAGCACTTCCTGCAATAGCAAGTGAAAAAGAATCATCAAACCCAGCAGCTAATTAGTGCAGTGACTTCCCACCATGTCTTATCAGCAGGTGATTGACTCAAAACCTTTAGAATCAAAAGCATAGGTCCATACCATCTGAGTTAGCATCTATAGGAGTCAGCTTCTGAAGAGATATGACATACCAAGGCAGAGCCTTACAATAGCAAGCAGTGGTCTTACTGAACAATGCCATGTATCTCTATTAAAGTGGAATGAAAGCAACTCTGACTGGAGTCTCAGTCCCCCCCACAGAACAAATATGCCAATGTAGTCCTCCTGTGTTGTAGGAAATACATTAGAATTCAAGGTCTAGTAAGAGATACGAATGCACAATTCATGTTTGAAGACAGACACACTCACTTGCAGCTCTCCCTGTACCTGTGATTTTGATGCAAGCCTGAGAAGCAGAGCAAGAACTCTGAAATGAAAAGCGTGAGTTCATTGAAATATGCATAAAAGAGTTTTGCAAGTATTACTTCTTGGGACAGAAACACAGCTGGGGTCTAAGCATCATTCATGTTCGATGCTACAAGGTAGCAACCTTGAACTGCCACAAGAAATTGAAACTGACGGAAGAGTAGGAGATGGAATAAAAGGAACATTTACAAAAATAGACCTAACATAGGAGAAAGGCACATGATAAATAGAATTCTGCTTTCTTGGAAGGGGTAGATTCAGCATCCAATGGCTCTTGACATTTTACAGACAAAGAATTTTTGCCAGGCCTCACATTTCCTTCAATACAGTAATCTGATGCTCGGCCATCTATGAGAGGGAACTTGCTCAATACTGGAATACAGTGAGCACATATTGTGGCACTGACAGCCAGTTTTGCAGATGTCACATTCATTAAGACAAAGCCTTCCCCCTAAAAGCACAGCTGCTGGCACTGGAACAGCTGGGATCAAAAGATGAATGACAGCTGTCTGTAAAATTTCCAAGCTATCATTTCAGTCTCTAGCACACCCCTAAAAAGCTGGTGTTCACAGCATACTGGGGCAGAAAATAAATTACCTGCTATTTCCACTGTAATTTCCTGAGCAGTTTCAGACAGAACTGCAAAGCAGCTACAAAGTGCTGAGCTGGAACAGCCTAGCTCTGAGCACAGGCCTGCTAGGTGATTGTTATGAATCATTAAAGGTGAACAAAGAGCAGTATACAGGGATAAACAATCTCTATCTCCTCAGTTTACCGAGGGCCTGGGAAACAGGCAAGGCACAGTGGCTCACAAGATTTCAAGCAGATCCCTTTCAGTCAAATTCTAAAAATTCAGGGTCATAACAAAAAAAACCCACAGACAGCCAGGACAGGGTAGAATGGAGGTCCTCAGATACTTACATGAAGCTTCCAAAAACCTCATTATAAGAAAGGCTGTTAATCATGGTAAAAGTCCTAATGTCTCAGACACTATCTGGCTCTCAAACTGTAATCGTGCTTAGATTACAAGAAGGAACGAACACACACACACACACACACACGTGAACATGGAACTACACACAGCCTCCAACTTGTACTGGTTTGACTGCTGGGATGTCACTGCTGTTTGACTGACATATTGCTCAAAAGAGTTGGGATTCAAGCAGCCAGTTGTCCAGGAATATAACCGAGGAATTCAGGACATGAGTCTTTTTAAGAGGACCTTCACATGGTCATCCTCTGCACCTTCCAATGCAGGCAGTGCAAACAAATGCCAAAGCAACAGGGCTACTATACCCAGAGTTCTCCAGGGGGCATTTTACAGTCACATGTCTCCAAAGCACCAGAATCAGCGTGACATGCAGCATATCTCATGCTTCTCATCCGCTGTTCCCAGGCTCCCCTTTGCTGGCTCTAGAACTCCCAGGAATCCATCCATCGGAGCCCTGCCATTGGGCTGCTAGGGTCAGAGGCCATGGGTCCTATCATCCCGTAGGACAAAGGATGGAAGAGGTAGAAGCTGTGGAAAGAAACCAAATGTCCATCAGGGACTGCACACTTTTCTGTCTCAAGAACATGGCAGCAGGTTAGTCCACACAGATGTTCTATGGGACCTTTGGTTTTGGGCTGCTCTGAGCTCCACTGGGGATTCTGCTGAACACAAAATATACACAGTACACAGTTTCATCACAGGTGGTATTTTCTCTTAGAAAGCAACAGCTTTCAAGAAAAGCCAGCTGAGAAAACCTAGCGCAATGAAGAACTTGCCTATATTTGAGGAATCCGGCACCATCTAGCATCAGGACTAGAATCAAAAACTACTCAACTGTGGGTTTGGAGGAGAAGAGTGTGTTCATACTGACTGCTGGGATGAAAGAAAGATTCCCTGCAATGGAAAGATGTTTTAGAATGCATTACTGGGACATAGATGCTGAATCTAATCAAATTTGAGGGTTTAGGATTGGGCTTGGTGTCTGACGAGTTCAGCAGAGAAGAGTGGCAGAGACAAAGGCTAAAGATAATCAACAGGCAGTAAGGTTTCCATTGAGACAGTGACTGTCACACATTCAGGAAAAGTTCAGCTTTCAACACTCACCTGTACATGATGAGCAGAACCAGTGCCAGGAACCCCCCTCCATATACTTTTCTAGCTGTTGTGCTGGGTGACAAGAACCCAGTACAGAACTTCAGTAGTGTGTCCCAGGTGATTCCTAGGAGAAGGAACAGGTAGAAGTCAGGAACAACACAGAGGCCAAAGAACAGAGTGCTACATTCAGTCTTAGACTGGACTGACAAAGCTCTGTTAACACTAGAAGACCTTGTCAATTTTTAAATTCATTTTCCTTGGTAATCTTCAAAACTATAGGGATTTTTTTCTATCAGCAAAAGGTTCTTTTTTCCTACCTTTCCATTTGAATAAATGCAAAAGAGATCTGGGCCCCAGATGCTAAATAAGTTGGTACAAAATCACAGGAAAAAATACCAAGACTGAATTATAAACAGACATGACAAAAAAGTGGGGGCAGCAAACAAAGGGAAGTAACTTGCAAAAAGCATATATAAGAACAGCGAAATAGCAGAGAATAGGAATCACATCTGTAAATTTAAAAGCCCTAAGCACTAGACATGACTGTCTCTTCAGGGTGGTAACAAAAAAAGACAATTTGGCACTGCAAGCTGCTTTGTGATAAACTTTTTGAATTGGTCAATATTTTCAGGCACTTTGCACAAGCAAGCAGAAAAATCTATTAAAAAAAAAATAAACTGTTTAGTCTGAAAACATTCCATTTAACAGAATTTCACCTGTTTCCCTGCTTTGTCTTCTCCCAGACTCTAATATTTACCTGTCAACATGCTGGAAAAAAGCATGGCAGGAAAGTAGTGGTGAAAGTAGAGAACTCGTCCCATCATAAAAAAAGGGAGGTAATGAAGGAGCCAGCCTAGTGTGATCTGCCCTCCACCACGTAGCACAACTCTAGACAGTTCTGGAACACAAATAAACAGACTTCAGCACAGAAAAACTCAGCTACAGTTCCTCTTTGCAAACCTTATAACATCAAGTAAACTCAACAGGAATTATTTTTGCAGGACATCATGTGCTGGTCTGAAATTGCTCCAAGCCTCTGCAACATCCTAGCTGCATTCTTTATAAACACACAAACACATTTCAGGAGAATAGTTATCAGAAAAGATATACAAAGATGTAAGCCCCGAGGGAGTGGCAGGAGGTTGACGATGCTCTATGTTAAGACCAAACTTGCAGTTTCTCTGGATGTACAGACAACTAATTAGGTCACTCCAGTTTCTGATGTTTTTTATTCTCTCTGCAATGAGACTACAAGCCATCCAGATGATCACTTTGCCAGCTTTTCCTGGAAAGAAATGTTGCCTAGCTTTCAGAGCCTGGGGAAGTGACTGAGAGCTCTGGTGTCTGCACACAGCTTAGCCAATAATTTATTGTGTAATTGAATAGTTTCACATCACATTTTAGAATTCACTTCCTACAAAGAGATCTACAAAATGAAGCAACCATTGATGTAAACTGGAATGGTCAAAGTATGACTTATTAAGGTTTGTGAAAAGCTCTATAACCTTGGCATTGAACATAATAAAGGATCGTTGTATCTCTTGCATTTGTCATTTGCTTTGCATAAATATCAGGAAACATTTCTCATTTCAAAACACGATGCATACTACAGTAGTACAGAGCACAGGCAGAGCTTGAGAGCAGGGCATTGATCCAACTGGTCTGTCTCCCTTACAGCCAGTACAGGTAGCTCCTTGCAGTATTTTTGTTGAGGATCTGTCCTGTTCACTATTAAACTATTTGAGATACGAAGCTCTCACTGTTTTCCTTGTGGACACTGCTCGATAATGCAAGCTCAGTGGTTTCCTCATCCTTGGCATACAAAGTCCTGCCATCCACACACTTTTAAGGTGCCCGCAAAAGGTATTTTTGAAAAGGAAGTCTATTATCATAATATAGATGGGCTAAGTATCTCTAATAGAAAAAACACCTTGGAAGCCTGCAAAGCAGAACAAGCTAAAAACCATGGGATCAGTAGATCTCTGCATCAGGAAGGTTTCCCTGACAAACATTTTATCACTTTCTCCTACAGATATGTCCAGATCAAATATAATCTTGCCAACAGATATACATCTGGCCATTTCTGAGTTGCAACATTTCTGGTCATTTCTGAGAGCAACAAAACTGGTGAAGGGCCTGGACCACAAGTCTTATGAGGAGCGGCTGAGAGAGCTGGGGTTGTCTAGTCTGGAGAAAAGGAGGCGGAGGGGAGACCTTATTGCCCTCTACAACTACCTGAAAGGAGGTTGTAGAGAGGTGGGGGTTGGGCTATTCTCCCTGTAACCAGCAATAGGACAAGAGGAAGGTGTCTCAAGTTGCGCTAGGGGAGGTTCAGGTTAGATATTAGGAAGAATTTCTTCACTGTAAGAGTCGTCAGGCATTGGAACAGGCTCCCCAGGGAAGTGGTGGACTCACCATCCCTGGAGGTGTTCAAAAAATGTTTAGATGTGGTGCTTCAAGACATGGTTTTGTGGGTTTAGTGGGCATGGTGGCGTTCGGTAGAAGGTTGGACTTGATGATCTTTGAGGGCTCTTCCAACCGTAACAATTCTACAATTCTATGCAGTAATCAATGTAACTGAAAGCAATTGTGGCCAGCATCTTGGCTCTAGAGCAGTTCATAAGCAACTCCCATGCTAGGCTGGGTGATCTCCTGCAAAGCAGAGCTGGCATGTGAGCTACTGACTAATCCAAGCCCTCGTCTCCTGCAAGAAAACAAGGCAGCAAAAGCCTACTGAGACTCATATCTTTGGATCACCTTAGGATGCCAGCTTATACTCAGATCAGCTCTGAGATTTCCAGCAAAGGAGTGGTAAGACCTTTGAGGAAACACTGACCACATCTCCTGCCTGTGAATCACTTTAAGAGCTCTTGTCTTTGGCTACGTAGGTGCCTTAAGGCCCTTGCTGACTTGAGGATTTCTGATCAAGTCTTACGGGCTTAGGAAATTTGGCAACTCATCAGGAATGGTCTGCCATGCAAAAAGCGAGATTTGTTCATCAGAGTAATTATTTCTACTATGGATCATTCAGTGCTACACTTCCAAAGCACTATATAGCTTAGTGTTTTGTACATACAGTTGCCTTGAGTGTATTTTGTTCAATCCCCAGGTTTTTAACAAAATATTAAAATATTAAAAAAATATATATATAAAAAATATAAAAAAAAGTCCCATAATGATCTTTCCTGTATCAGGAAACCAGAATGTTGTAAAAGGGATTCCACAGTGCAGGCAGGATAGGAAGACTGACCTCACCTTTGAGTTCAGATGTCAGCTGGACACCTCTCTTCAGGGCCACTGCAGTGGAAACTGTTATGAGAAGATATAACCCAATAGTGACCAGATTTAGCCACCAAATCACCTACATAGGAAAAAAAAAGAAAGATTTGGGACTTTAGGCTGGACATGCACATGTGAGAGGAAATGAAAAGCTACATGCAAGCATAAAAGTATAATGAGAGAGACAGTCTAAAAGAAGGAGGAGGAGGAAGAGAATCATTGTCATTGGCAGAAGCAAGACTAAGCTAAAATTTGCTAAAGACGTTGGTTTGGAACCTCCCACTTACCGGGTTTCCCAGTAAATAAACCCGATAATCAGTCTCATTGACACCAGAAAAACGCAGGCCCTGAGGAGACAGATCAGAAGGGAGTAAAATGGGTTTCCATCAGTCTAGTTTGTATTTTGCACAGTATCAAATGCGAGACAAATTCTCATCCATTCAGCTCAGGTGCTATAAAATAAAGCTGACAACATCTTCAATGCAATTAAGAGGTGTTACACTCAAAAAAGCACAGTAAAAGCACTTGAAAACAGAAAGGGAGGTGGATTGATCAATATACCTGGTAGTTGATGGGCCAGTGCCAAGGTTTGGATGTGACTTCATTGTCCTTTGGTTTGAGGCCACTAGATAAGTCAAAATAAAATTTAAACGAGCAGGCAGTTATGCTGCAAAGCCTGCCCAGAAATGTCCAGGTACACAAACACACATAAAAACTCTTCCTGAGTAAAGGTTGTTTTCTGACTACATAAACACATCATCTTCCAGAGATGGCCACAATGAGGACAATGAATGTTTTAGTATTACTGTGCAAGTGAAAATGTTCTTTGGGTGCCATTAGAGGCAGTATTCTCTCATTTCTCTTCATTTCTTTTCTGTCGGTGAGGACACATGTTGCATAAGCAAGACCTTTGTTCATTAAGAAACTACTTTGACAGGTTTCCCTCTACTCTGGAAAAAAAAGCCTCAGAAAGATTATTTCCATGGAAACTCAGGCAGGTGCTTCCTTACCCGAGACAGCATTATCACCCGTTGCCATGGAAATGCTTAGCATTAATAATAATTTGCTTGACTACCTTCTTTCTCTTAAGAATCTGAGAAGAGCTTTACAAACAGCAGCAAATAAAACCTTACACTCCTTTCTCAAAATAGTAACTTCTCATTCTTCAGACAAAGGATTGAGGAGCTGGAAGCAGCAGGGCTGTGGCCAAGAGCACAAAGATCATGGGGAAAGATCGCAAGAGTAGTCCACCTCGAAAATATTAAATCCAGCCCTTTTTTTTATATTCAGGGATAAATAGGGAAGAGGAAAGCAGAAAACACAGCACCTTGATGAACTTAAAAAAAATTATAAGTTTTCATTTTCAATCTAAACATTTACTGTTCTCCTACGTGTCTGTTTAGCTAATTTTCCTGACTCTGACCACAGTAATACCCTCCTGCCTTGCAAATATTAATTTAATTTTACAACCTTCCAGTAGGGTAGCAAAAATTTCCCACTCTCCTTTACAGAACCAAATTTCAGCCATGGAGGGATTACATAACTAGGCTGTAGCTAGATCACACCAACAGCAGAGCCAGGCATCAAGCCCAAGGCTTCCAAACTTTTGGAAGATTTAGGCTGCAAGACCATCCCTTTTTCTAAGTATAAATTCAAGTAGGCTGCTGGGGCATGTAAATTCTGCCCTAGCTTGCAGCCATCACCCAGATATCTCAGAAAATGCTATTTCTTTTTGATGCAAGACAAAGGAAGAAAATTATAATCTAGAATTAATGATATCCTACCCGGATCATAACCATGTGGGATTCTAGCAGAATTTCTGCAAAAGAGGGCTTCAAAACATCCAGGCTGATATTGGGCACTTTAGGAAAAGACAGAAAAATTGATTAGACGTTTGTGTGGTTTACTTTTGTTTGCCTCTTTCATAATAAACTAAACTCTCTCCTCCTGTGATAAATCTGCTTCTAGCTTTTTTCCCTACACAATTAATTAATATTCTAAACACAGGGGCTTGCAGTCAAAAATATCCCCCAATAAATTTCACAACTGACATTCCTAGACTTCCTCCTTTACTTCCAGGAGCAAGAGAAATAGATAAAAGTCCATGAAATAAACAGATTTGTATTTCTATCTGAAATTAGAGACATATTGTTCATAGACTGCTGTTTATCTGTAAATGAACCATGACTGGGGGAATGTAGAATGCATTACAACAGAAGAGGAAATTCTACCAAGTCAACAGCCCAGGATTTCTCTCCTTTGGTTTGCATACAGTTACTCTGAAAGGATGAAGAACACTAGCTTTTTTAGTAACTCAGAACTCAGCCCAAGTCAACCGCAATTCATGGGATGAAAATTGTATCAAATAGTTCAGGTCAAATGAGGCTGTGACACCTATCTAACTCCTGGATGAGGCTGCAAGGCTCATCTGTCAGTATTGGCAAACCTAGTTCCCTGTCATACTTCTACGCATTTCTTGATGGTGCTGTAAAGTCATTATTTAGCATGCCCCTGGTAAGAGAAGGAAAAAAAAAAATACACCAGAACAAGGTGGATCCTAGCTTTAAAAATGCACAAATAAATAAATCATTAAAGTAGACATGACATACTCATATTGATGACAGTAATTCCCAGTTAAACCAATGATGCTAAAAATAACAGCCTGGACTGCAGCGCACATAAAACTTCACACTTTTGCTATCCATGAAGATCTCAAAATCCTTAAAAAAGTCTTTATACTTCCACTACACTTGAAGCATTATCACCAGCTTATAGTACAAACAGTGAAGTAGAAAAAGGTTACGCATCTCTGAACAACTGGCCCAAGTTCAGCAAGTTTGTGCTTGAGTTGGGAAAGAACACACGAATTCCAAATACTGAATGCCAGTTCTTGCCACCTGATAGCTCATCCCCTTCCTTTAACAGCAAGCCAAGATGCACTCTCAAAGGAAACGAAAATAAGTGACTTACACTTAGGGTTAATATGATCTTCAAAGTTCCAGAGAGAATTGGGAGTGTCCTTCAGGTATGGTGTGCAGGTAACTTCCACTTGCTCCCAACCCCTGAGGAACAGCACAACAGTTAGCCACGACCCCACAAAAGATCACTCAGTACTTCCAGTTCATGTCTGATTTTTTTTTCCCCCATTTAGCTTTACGCTTCCTCACAACACTTTACTATATCACCCAACCCAAGTAGCTGCATTCTTACACACTCTGACATGCTCCAAGCACCATGTAGAAACCAAAACAGATCTGCAAGTCAGCCAACATGAAAATTCTACTGAATATTTGAACCACATTTCTCACTTTGGGCATCTAAACTAAAAAAACCTAGGTCCATACATAAACAGTGGGATTTTTGAAGACGATGCATATTGACAACTAGAAACTACTTCAAGTCAACCCTTAGTCTCTCCAGAAGAGAATCAGCATCATTCTAAGTCAATCCATGCCTACAGCAACTGTATTACAGAAACAAAAGAATAACTTTAAGGATCCCACCAACTGTTCATTTAGTCTGTCACCCTATTTCTAGCAGGTCACAGCAAACGCTTTGGGAGAAAGTGCATCAAACCCAGCAGTAATGCGACAGATTAATAAGGAATTTACTACCAATCACCACTTCGCAGACTTAACTCCACTAATTAATTAAATCCATTAATTAATCACTACTTAATTCTCTGAAGGACAGTGATTATTCCCCTTTAATTTCCTAAAAAAATATAAAAATCCAATATAATCTAACCATCCTTATTTGCAGTTAACAAGTATTTTTTTCCCTCAGCTCTTAATATCATCAATATTTTGCAGCAATAACTTCCATTCACAAGGTAAGTTTGTGTTAAGGAAAAAAAATACCCCCTTTCTTGAATGCTCCTGACAGAGGCAGCGATTTTTTTTTTTTTTAAACCAATCGTATTATTTACCCATAAGCCCGTTTTACTGGTAAAGTCTAAATGGCACTTGCATTCCTGACCAGGCAGTCACCAGAGGTATCTGCCTGCGCTTACTATGATTCAGCACCCACAGGATTCCTTAGAAACCCTTTTTACCATAACGCAGTGAAGGGAAAGCTAAGATAGCAGTAACGGAGGCTGCTCTGGAAACAGAAGCAACATGACCGCACAGTCTGCTGCTTCAGGATCCATGTTAGCATCCCACACAGTACAGCTTTGCAGATACAGCAGCTTGCTTGGCATTAGTCTGGATGTCTTTGCATATATCTCATTTTAGTGATGAAGATACATAATTGAAGGACATATCAAATTCTAACCCCTGTTAATAACAGCTCATTACTGCTGCCCTCCCTTCAGATGCTGCATGCAAAAATGGCAGAAGGTCTTCCAACCACAAAATAAATTAATACTAATAAAAAGAAGTTTGGAGGATTATGGTATGGAAGGCATGAACTGCCCCAGTTTCTAGCAACTTTTGTGAACCCCCAAGGATAAAATGGGCCTTGAAGAACACATCTGTCATCCCCTTCTGGACTTACCAGATGACAAGATCTACACCCATGCCACTCTTGGATCTCTTACTAAGGGATATTATTTTTCAGAGCTATATACCTTCACTGCATAGCCCTAACCCTGATCTTTCCCTCTGATTATATTTTTAGTACCTGCTAGTTACTTTTTTATTCTTTTAAACAAAGAAATGGAGGAAATGTGGTTATTGCTTAGTTTAAAAGTACCATTGCACAAAGGAACATGTCAGCTCAAAGCATTGCAGAGGTGGAAGGGGATTATAAACTATTTACCATTTTGGCAGAGTCTTTCCAGAAGAGCCCAATATACACCCGGTGGCCACATGGGTTAGCCGGACCTGACTCCGTAGGACTTTGATGAGCTTCCCAGTCTTTCTGCCCACCACTTCAATCCGCCAGAAATCATTGGAATCTCCTGTTCCATTCTATCATGCAAACATACCATAGGAGAAAAAAAACAAACCCAAAACCAACACAAACCACCACACATACAAAAAAAACCACCCCAAACAACAACAACAACAAAAAACCAACCCCAAAACCTAGAAGACATACAGGATTGCAGCACTGCAAACAGGAGCTTCTGAAACTCTAATGGTGGCAAAGCTAAACAAAGAAGCCCAGGCTACCCTCGCTCAGACTTCACAGAAGAGATTCCCCATCAGGAAGAGATGATTCTAGACATGAGACATTTTTATCTTGCCAACTCTGAATTTTTTTTTCTTCCACATCATACTTGACTGTGGCTCAGAGTTACATTTTAAACAGGGATAACTTGGCTGCTTCACAAAAGGGGTTTAGGCAACAGCCCCTTGTGTTTGGAAATTCAGCCCTCAAAGCAGATTTCATTTTCATGATTCAAAATTCTGTCATCATTCTGTCAAAAAAAGGCACTTGTCTATGTGACAGGGCCAAATACATAAAATAATACTTGTCAGAGCAACTTCAAGATTGCTCAGTTTGGCATTTCTGGAGTTGAACACTGCCAAAGCTAGACCAGCAGTAAAACCTTAAATTATTTTCTTGTCTGTGTTCACATTAAATAGACCTTAAATATGAGATAAGCTATTTCATACTAAATCAGTTTTTCCTCCAGTATGGTAGATGCACATCTATCACCATGGCTAACAAACTAAAAAAAGCAAGAATAAATTCCCTTGGCATGATATGAGTTCTCCCTAAAAGAGGGGGCTTTTGTTTTATCTTGCCATTCACTTACTATTCCATAGCCAGTGACCTGGAAATGCTTCCTTGTCAGGGGAGCCTCATGCTGGTGACTGTGAAGATTTCTAGAAGTTCTGAAATGAAATTAAAAGTCAAATCTTGGTTTGTTTTTATGTTTCAGTCAATTTGCGATAAGAACTTTGGTTTGAGCCATTCAGAGAGCTGCCAGTGCTTTGACCGCTGGATTCCAGCCAAGGGCAGGGCAGGATGCAGCCGTAACAGCGATGGGGACCGCAGAGCGAAACTGCTGTTTCCCACCATGCGACTCTGAGCTTACGCCACACTGGGCGGCGCTGGAAAAGGAGGACAGCGTGAATAAATCCAACCCTCAAGCTACAATCCACCACCTCCAAGTGGAAAAGACATTGTTGGCTTTGGTTTGGGTTTTTTTTTGTTGTTGTTGTTTTTTGCTGTCTTTTTTTTTTAAAGTGATGAGTAAAGGCAGGACTAACAGTCCTGCTCTTGCAAGAAGCAAAGCAAGATCCTGACCTCTCCTGATTACCAGTTTTGCTTTTGAGGGGAAAGATTATACCATTTAGTCAGGCAGAGATTTACTGAGGGGGCAATCAGCGGCCCCCATTAGCACCAGCTGCACACGGTGCAGACAAAGGGCCTCCCGCCCTAGCAGGGACTGACTGAGGGAACCAGGAACACCCGGCCCTTTCCTGCTCGGCCGTTAACAAAACCACTCAAGCCATGACCCAGCCACAGCGGCGCCCAGCCCGGCCCTACCCGCCCCGAAGCCCCTGCCTGCGCAAGGAGCCGAGCGCCACCTGCCGGATCTCCTCCGCAGCACCCCGCTGTCACCTCCCGGGCTGCCGACCTAATCGAGCCCTAACCACGATTGCCTCATCAAGGTTGTATCACCTTCACGATCATGTATTTTGACAGTAAAACCCAAAATTCAAGGGTTTTTTTTTAAAAAAAACATCTTAAAATCATCTTGGAAACCTAAGCAATGATTTGTGAACACAAAATACTGAATACAATACGACGTGATCTCCAGGTTCACAAGTTCAGAGCTTCCGTTAAGAAATCAAAACTGCGACAGGACAAAAAGAGCATTGTGGCATGGTGACATTAGACTAGATGAAGATTAACTATCAAGTCACTAGGGTTCCCCTGCTTCCTCTCAGGTATTCCCTACAGAGACAGAAGGCACCAGCCAACATTTTCATTGAAAGTGTTTCGCTGCTGTGATCTCAGTGCTGTTGAGAACTTCAGGGGTTGGACACTGTCTATACACACAGGAACAGGACACCTGCAGTACACTGACAAAAAACCCCATCACTGCCTAGAAAACTCAGAGAGTGGGGTCAAGCAACAGAATGAGGGTGTTGAAATTGCTTCTTCGCAGAAGAGTTACCCTTAATATCGCACCTCACACAGCTGAAACAAATCCCTCTGCTGCTTAGGTAGGTATTTCTAATGAAGTTTTGTGATTCTGTTAAATGGGAAACTTTTAACAGACACCCTTCAAAACTGTAGAAGAAAAACTCCACAAAGCCACACTGGAAATGCAGATACACAGACACCTGTGTCACACAGCCTGCTTGTGCTGGCCTAACCATGTAGTGTCCAGCAGGACAAATCTCCCACCAATTCTATTCAATCATGCAATCTCTTTGAACCCCAGAAATCATCCTTACTCTTTGTGTTCCAGACGAATAATATCTCCATGCCTCACAAACTCCACAGGGCTCGAGGGATCTGACAGATCTGCTGAAAGAAGGCAAACTAATCATATCAATGAGCTGACAAACTTATCAGTCTTAGAAAGTTTCTTGGGAATGCTCGTGCCTCAAGCACAGAATACAAGGCAAACTAATTTGTGTCGACTCTAAGCATGGTGTAAACTACAGCTTTAGTTTAAGATGAGCCCTGCAGGCTACTCCAAAGAACACAGCCCAAGCAGCACATACTGCCCTTAAATAAAGAGGATGCCTGGTCAGGCTAACTGAACACCAAAACTATAAATTTTTTATATATTTTTTTTTATTTCATGCACTATAAAATGACTGTTGCAACACTGATTATAATTGTTATATCTAGGTTATTTGCATTTTCTGTTGTTTAGACAGTTCTTGTTAATTTTTATACACACGTTGCAGGTGAAGAAAGGAAACTCTGCCAGACCAAACATGCCTCAGCTACAGTATATAATAATCTAAAACAACAGATGTATGTACAAACCATAGATCTTCATGTTCAGTACTCTTATCTTGTTCCAAGCAAACATTCATGCAAATCAGTTGAACGCAATGTATCAGAACCTCCCAGGACCCAACTTCTCCAGGATCCATAGCCACAATAACAGATCCCACAAAATACTGAGTTCAGATTAATTTCCTCTCTGTTATTTTCAGCCCTACCTAGCTGAAAAGTTGTCAATGCAACCTTCAGCTGAGAAAAGCTTATGTACTTCAGCTGCACAATCTGGAGAAAAACCAAAACCACAGTAGACACAAACAGTGTTAATCAAGATGGAGCCAGATTCCCCTTGTACTTCTTCCTCTCCCCCTCATATCCATGAAGGATAGTTTGCCCTGGAAGGAACTCAGAATATTTCAGTGAAAAACTGAAGCAGCAATTACAAAAAGCACTTTACTTGTACTTGTTACCTGTATCCGAATCATGTTTCTTTATAATCCACAGGTTATTCAAATCTTTATGTAAGTAGGCAGTGACCTGAAAACACAGGATTAATTATTTTACCAAACAAGAAAAAAGCTGGTGATAGCAGACACATTCGCAAGCAAACTGAAGTTCCAAATGAATGCACCAACAACATAGAAACTCTGGGATGACTTTTATGATAACGCCCCCCCCAAAGTTAGTTACTGGCCACTCTGTAAGCCAGACCACACCTCTTACTCAGCGCATAGCCTATACGCTCAGGAGCACTACGCTTAATGGAAGGTCACTTGCATCATGAGTAACAGCCTCCAACTATACAGCCTGAGCTCCTCTCACCCTATTACAGAGGCTCCTTCTACAACAACAGGATATCCAAACCTGAACTTTTTGAATAATCACTGACCAGTACCGGAACCAGAAGATGGAAACAGCACTGGCTTTACAGACAAACATCACTGGTAGATATTTATGACAACAGGCTGCTTGTGACAACCATAATATTTCTGCCAAAACACCCGGGCCAGGTAAGAAGGATTCAGGGATCAACTGTTAAAGCTGTACATGCTACCCAGCTAATCCTTACCAGCCTGCTCAGCCTCACACAGAGGAACTGCTCCTACTGCTACCATGGGCAGGGGAGATCATCTGGCCCCAGGGTGCTGCTCCTGAGGGCAACCTGCCCAAGCAGCATGAGGAACTGTGTCCACTTTGCTCACTCGCCTCTTCAAGCAGCAGCAAGCCCTGCTCTGTGGGACCCTAGCCCAGTCCCAGACCTGTGCCTCCCACTCAGGTGGGAGCAGATGGCCCAGTGGGTAGGTGAGAGGAAGAACATACAGGAGTGTCTAAGGGTGGGGGAAAAGGGAGAACTGGAGGTGGAACCTCATACCTTGAGGTTATATCATCAGGAGAGGAGGGAAAGGAGGAGGCAGAGAGTTCACTGCCTCCATTTTTTCCTCCCTAAATCTCCTCCCAGTTCTAAATTCCCTTTCCCTCTCCACAGCCCCCAAACACTCCCAGCCCCCTACCCTTGTCCTTCCTCCAGGGCACCCCTTCCCACTTACCCTCAAGGAAACTCCCATCAGCATCCTCTCCAAATCCCCCTTCCCTGCTTTTAATGTCATAAAGCATGCTCTGCATTTGAATTTTGCCTATCCTTGAGCCAGTTTTGGTATGATATATCCATCTACAGTAATAAACATCAATGTCACATGAGAGTATTAGAATTTTTGGTTTGGAAGAACAGCAGGAAAAGAAGACTGAGACAAAGTTTTCATTTCTGAACACTTCTTCCTCACCACAGAGACTGAAGGGAGTTAAAAAACAAACACTTGTTTTTCTTTGGCAACTTTCTTTGAAGGAGCTCAGATCAATTTTTAGACACTAACATGCAAACTGCAAAACACATCTTGGGGAAGCTACAGAAGCTGCAAATATTTGTGAAGCTTGATGATGATGGACAAAAATAAGAAATTATCTTAATTTTTTTTTTTTACTTAATTAGCGATAGTTACATGCTTTCTGATTTTTACTTTAACTTATTGCTTAATCATCTAATCAGAAGCCCTTAGAGAGTTCAGATAGTTTCATCATGGCTAGCTTACGAATGTACAGATATCTATGTAGAGATATCTAATTTAGTGAGCAAAGCCTTACAAATTCTTTGGTGACAGAGGACGAAAACAAGGCACAAAAGGAGAGTAATTCATGTATGGTCACACAGGCCAGCAGGAGTGAAAACAACACACAGTAGTCCTTTGTTGCTTTTAAAACACAGCAATGAAACCTACAAGATAATGTATTTGTTTTAAACATAAGTTTTACAGCCTTCCTTGAGGTAACAACAGTACGTTCATTATGGAAGATTATTTTTAAGTCCTCTTGGCCTCCAATTATGCAGGGTTGTCTTGCTACTACAATGAAGCCTTGTTACTGTAAGTCACCTCTCTGGTGTAATGTAGCAGGCTCTCTTCAAGTATCCTTTTTACTCAGACTTCCAAACCAAGTGCCCAGTTGTGGCACTGAGCAGGTAACAGATGCTGAATAAACAGATAGGTCCTGTCACATTGGCCCCTAATGCTAAGTGCAGTGGGAGCAAGTCGACGGTTGCAGTCAGAGGCAGTTCTACTGCAGCACACTAACCTGCTGCTGGCGAGCCCCAATGCCCTCCGGGTAGAGGTGCCAGTGGGAGTGAAGGTATCCCCCTGCCATCCGAAGGTTCTTCATTGTGACCACAGACCCATACGCCAAGTCTACAGGGGAAGGAAGGAGGAAAAAAGCATAAGACAGCTCTCCTATAAGTATCTCCCCTAGCTATCTGCAGCGCTGTGATAAGGCGTGCATTCTCCTGCTTTGTTTTGATGAAAGCTCATTTCCCGTTTGACATGTTACTCCACACAGCTCATGACAAGCTCATCTTCCATCCCCAACCACGATTCAGCAAAACTGTTTAGCTGAAACTCTTAAAATTCTCCCACCTTGTTTTAATATAAAGAGAAGTGCTAGTTCTTTTGTATGTAATGTCAATAACGAGAGGTTTGAGATAGCTTTCCATAAGAATATATGGTCAAATTAAACCATGATCAACTTTGAAAAGCATGCAACTACTTTGAAGCACTCCATCGCCCAACTCCTACAGCAGTACAAGAGGGATGGGAGGCAAGCTCAGCTATCAGATAGCGGAGCTGATACCCTGGCTTAAGACACTTTCCTTCAAAGCCTCCCAATACAAGCGAGAGAACACAGTCTTGGAGAATGGACCTCATGCTCTCCCAGTATCAGCTTTGGAGCAGGGAACAGCCAGAGAAAAGCTGAAGTTATCAGAAAGCTAAACCATATCAAAGCCTCAGTAGTCCCCAGCCAACCTGAGAATTAAGGAACAACCACAGAGCCATCTTTTCCCTGAATTCGTATGCATGCTGAATACAACACAGCTGAACCAGGCGCACCCTGTGTCACAAAGGGGTTGATAGTTTCCATTTACATATATTTTGGAAACAAATCCCACATCTGAACACCTGCAAACCTAAGGTGAACAGGACAAATCTCTTTTTGTTGTCTCAAGCAACATAAAGGCCAAAAAATAACAAGATGCATGCACACAAAACCGTCAAATCCCTCAAAATGGCATCTTTCTCTCTACAAGGAATATGATGAAACAGCTAGTGACCTTGCACTAAACACAATGTTATTTTCAGCCTTTTTCTTCTCTGTCAGTACATAAAACTGCACAGAGGAACAGCATAGACCTGACCGTGAAGGCGTAATCTGTACTGTCCTGCACAGAGTCACAGGAGATGCTGTTTTTATTTAAACTCCCATGTACATCAACAACACTCAAGAGTGGTTTATTCCTTTGGACACTCACGCTCTGGAATGGAGACATTATGAAGATTGTTCCCAATCAGCTGGGATTGAAACGCTGAACTGAAGAAACCATCCCCAGGACCACTACAAAAGAGAACAAAGAACATGACAATTCAAAGTCTGGCAAAACAGGCATACAAAGCTCTGTCACACATTGCCAAATTGTTTTTACAGAAGGCAAATGACAAAACCAGACATGGCATCAGGAGAAGAATGACTGCAGTGCCCTTAGATGCACACACCTCTAATGTTGTGAAACACAGCAGATGGAGAGAGTCTTGCAGGAAATCGTCGACAGCTGCAAGGACTAGAGGTCACAAGAATGTACACACTCATCAACTATCTTTGGGGGCGTTCTTACGACAAATAAACTGACCCACTGTCAGGTTAGATATAACGAAGCCTCTCTCTGTGGCTTCTTAAGTCTCATTTCTGCTAAGAGGTTAGCGGTGAGATCAGCTGACTTAAGCTGAAAAATAATGGATTTAATTTTATATTCTTTTTTATGGTGAAATGCTTATTCAACTGATCTCTTAATGCTGGCATATGAAAAAACATTACTAGGTCATTTTACTAGCTGTTGTGCTCTTTACACATCCCTTTGTTGCAGACATTCAGAGAAGAGTCCTCCCTTTGGGCACACTCAAACTTACTTTTTTAATTACAGCCAAAGCATTTTTCAGGATTCAATACACAATGGCTTTTTTTTTTTCTTTTTAATTACAAAAACAAAAGGAAAAAGAATGGAGTTGAGACATTTTCAGGTCCAGGAAAAAGAGGAGGGAAAAAAGGGGACAGAGAGTTTAGTTAGGATACTTGCTTGGCATTTCAGAAAGTCTAAAGCTCAAATTCAGTTTCACTGCCAGCTTGGCCAGAGTCTTTCTGTTAGAACAATGCAGGAGTCTGGGAAGCGAATTAAACAAAGCACAGCTTCTGGCTGTGCTTCTGACAGTGAAAGTGGATAAATCCATAATCAATAGCCTTTAATTTAAAGCAAAGACAAGTGATTCTTCTTCTGGAGAAAACATTGTGAAATACCTTTTATTTAATACTGTAAAATGAACAGCAAACATAGCTGTGTAGAGGCAAAGTGGGAGCAGGATGAGGCAGAGTACACGAGCCAGTAAATGCTTCCCAAACATGACCTGTAACAAACACAACACAACCTGGATCAAACAGTGCAACTGCAGAAACACTCCTTACTTCACAGGACTCTGTGCAGCAGTCCTATAGCTGGAGCTTGCCATGCAAGCAAGCTCAGCAGGCTGCAGAATCACCTCAAAAAGGCCTAGAGCTTAGGCAGACCTTGCTGTGCATCTCCAAAAGCTGGAGCTGTGGTACCTTGAAATTTCATGGTCTTGGGAGGAAGACAAAAACACGCAATAGGATGGTTAACTTTTCAAACTGTTGACGGTTAACTTTTCAAACTGCTGAGCATCCCTAACTTTGGCAAAGGAAGTAGGGCAGCTCCCATCGACAATACTTTGAAAGCAAGGACCTTAACTTGTTTATTAGAATGGTACACATCTTGACACAAAATCACAGCAAGGAGATGGCTTCCAGAATACTAACTGTCAAAGCTAAGCAAAAGGGAAAATGAAAACTTGTTCTCCCAACAAGCCTGCCTATGCAAATGTGAATGTAATCAGGACTTCCTGGGGACCTAGACATGCTTCATTCACAGAAACCAGCTCACTTAGCAAAGATGCTCTCACACTGCAACTTCTGTTGCTGCTCAGCCAGAAGTTACAGAAAAGTCAGCAGCAAAACCTTTGAGTGTTTGAGCTGCCTCAACACAAAAGCAGACTATTTTATTTAAACCACTTGGAAAGGTGGTTTGTAGCCAGATGCCCAAGAAGCAATGACATATTCACATCCTACTGACGCTGCTAGTAGTAGAGTAAATAATGTAAAATACAGAGTGGGTAATAAATAGCTGTGGGAGAAGAAAACACTTAAATAGCAGAAATTGTTTGTTAAGTGTCCACATGTAACTTCAAACGGCATGGAGGCAGATCTACTTGCCATCCTTTTTTTTTTTTTTTTTTTTGACATGGTACCTATGATACAATCATTAAGCTAACCATTCTCCATCCCTTAATACCAGATTCAAAGATTTCAGAAGTAATGAAAAAAAGAGCTGAACACATTACAACACAAAGAACTTAGTGAAGTCAATAAAGGAAACAATTGCTCAGCTCAAGTACTTCAGCGGAACACTTAATGACCACTGGGCACTTGGAAAAATACTGATTGATGTACATAACCAAATTTATGCAGTGGAGAGGCACATGAACTAATCTCTAGTTCCCTGCCCAAAATGACCACAATATGCTTCAATCTGTGTGAAAATGTCTTAACTACAGGCTTCATGTGCATTTTCTTTTTTTGACTTTGCATTGAAGGACAGCATCCAGCAAACCAGAATAGTGGACCAAGATAAGATAAGAATTCTAGAAATCAAATTAGTCCCACAAACATTGTATGTAAACAATCATGAGTTGTTTCCTAACAAATACAGAGATAAGTTATTCAGGCTTTCAGGGATTTAATCCTCCTTTTCTTTCCTTCTCCCTCCTCTCTCTCCTCCAGCACCAAGGATGCTGAACAGTTATTCAGAAAGCATCTACCTTGTGGAGTAAATTTCTTTACATATTCTGACACTCAGGGGCTTGCTGCCTTTGCTGCCAGCAGCACAAATGAAATCACTGAGCAGCCATCTGCTGGCAGAAAGCTTAGACATGATGGATTTGTTCCATTTCAAATGCAATTAACTGACTTTGCTCAAGAAGTACTTCTCCGGAGCTGGAACATTGCATCTTTGCAGCCCATATTGATTCACATTAATCAGAGAAAAGAAATCACACAGCAGGAACAGAAAAAGTCCTCCAAACCCCATGCTGTTTATGAGACAAACAGGACAAAAACAGTAACTGAAAGAAATAGAATTTTCAAGCTTCAGAAGAGGCTGAGACAAAAGAAGAACCGAACACCTTTTAAAAGATGTACTTGAAGTATTTGTTTTCCTGCTAGTTGCAAGACAGCAAATGATACATCAAGGTATTTCCAAATAGCAGATTTCAGAGTCCCCAAATATAAAATGCAATATATTAGAACAGAACATTCAAACATAACAGCATATTTCTTAGAGCTTATATGAACTAAATGTGTGTGAAATCAAGGAGGGTACGGCTGCCTTCATCCTCAGGACCGGCTATGAAGACTGCAAGTTGCAGAGCATTCCTATGACTCATGATGGACTACAGCACACTACTGCTATGCAGCCTATGCCTTCATACTCTTATGAAGCAGAGCCTGAGCTCACACTGCTTATGCCAACTAGGCAGACATGCCTGTCTGCCAGGTAGCACGTACTCCTCAGAAGGTCACGCAACAGCGCTGGACAACATCTTGCTTTGTACCATTGTACCGCCATTCCCAATGAGCATCTTCAGCCTAGACTGAAATAAAATCAATCCATCTAGCTGGAAAGATAGTAATTTCTTAATTTCTCTCAGGAAAAAGCAACAACCTTTTTGCTGTGCTCTTATGACATTATATCCTGCTAACATGTGTGTTTGGGCGTTTTTCAAATGTATGACAACAATTTTTCCACTACTTCCTTCATCTTTAATTATCATCATCCACCTCAGATGCCCCTGTTTGCTGCAGACAATCACTGTTTGGCTTGTTACACAGTTGTCAAAGACTAGGAGAATTACAAAGCAAAGAAAACAAAGAAACGCTTAACATAAAGAAAAGTTTTTTCACACTCACCAGTGACAGGCTGAGGTTCCCCAACAAGTCCCATAGGTCATAGATGGTGTTCAGGCCAACAAAGAGGACTACAAAAAGGCCAACAAACTTTACCCCCATTGCTCCAGCAAGGTTCATGCCAGTCAGACTCAGCCAGAACCACCAGGAGGTAGAAAATGGTCTGCAGGACAGATAGAGCAGGTTAGTAAATAAATGATGGCTACATGAATGGGCATCCACGATCAGCAAAAAAAAACAGCAAATTGGTTACCCTGCAAAACTACATTCCATCTTCTCAGGAACCCATGAGGAACAGAAAGACAAGTTTTTTATTAATTTTAGAATGATGCAAGGATACTGGCTTCAGATACAGGCTTGTGAAGCCTTGATACAGAGGCTTCAGAAGGGCTCAACGCTTAAGCCTGGACAGCCCTAGATCCCCCCCTTTAAGGAAAGGAACACAGACACCAGGTATAAGCTAAAATACTAGTGTGAAGAAAGTCTGACACATGGAAGGTCTGAAAATAGAAACAGGATTTCTGCTCCATAAAACGCAAACTTACTTCTCTCAGAAAGCTAAGAACAGGACAAAAAGAACAGCCACTTTTCCTAAAGCAGAAAGGCCACAGTGGAAAACATATGCCCAAAGTACAAACAAAATATGCAGCAAAAGGCACACAAATTATAAACTAAACTAAAATTGAACCACAGAGAAAAGATGACAGCAGAATTTAAAACCCTTTTCCTAATGACTCCTAATGCCTTGACACTTATATTTTGACTAGACAAAATCCCCATGACCTGCTAAGCAACACTAGAGCTGGCATAAACTCAACTAGTCTGAAAACATGATTAGCTCTAAAACAGGAGAAATAAGTTCAGGTCAAGGCACACAGAGCTGATCAAACTCTGCTCTGTAACTTAATGCTTGCACTCCCTGGGGTACGTGTTGTAGATGAGGATGGCCTTGGGTGGCCCTACATGACACTGCAGGCTGCATTTTAGCCATGTGTGCTGCAGTTACACTATTGATATGATCAGCTCTTGAACATTTCATAAAACAAAAATTGCTCATATATAACACAGTATTCTATGCTTTTACATCTTTGAATTCTGGACACTGTGGGGAAACTATTTTGTACAGCCCAGCCACAAAAAAGCCTTTTGACAAATCCACATACTATAATTCACCATCCCCCTCCAGACGGGTATATAGCAAATGTCCTCAGCAACTTGACTACTTTATTCAAAAACATTCTGGCTATATTTCCCTCAAATTTTTGGTACCAATTTCTCTAAACCCAACCAATTACACTATTTACCTCAGCTAGCAGGATTTTGTAAGTGCTTATAGGATTACAGTCACAGATAAGCTGTGTTTCTCCTGCCTGGAGACAAAGTGACTGGTTTAAGATAAATTTTTGCCATTAAGGAGCAAAGCCTTGCACAGGTTACACCCATCCTTCATTCCTCCTTCTCTGACCTACAACGCCCCATATCAGTTTTCTTTCTTGTCAAGTTTTAAAAATCTTTAACCTTCATTTTTAAAGATTTGCAGTTCCATAAACACTATTTCTCCTGAAATTTCCTTTCATGCTAAAGTTATCTATTTAAGTCTCTCCCCTGCAATCTCATCTCAGCCATTCACCCAGACTACCAAGTGGCAGACATGTTCTAGTACTTTATCTGTGTGAAAGCTGAGTACCTATAGTTTAACATAATTATTGTCTTTATCTTACCTATCTGCACAGCTGTTACATTTCACCATACTCAGAACAGCTCCCATGAGGAAGAACATCAGAATGGGATCCAGCAGAATATATTGGGACAAAGTAATACAGCCCGTATCTGCAAAGAGACGCACAACAATGTCAAAAAGGCTTGCAGTTCCAAAGTGAATCTAAAATTGCAGGAAGCCAGTTTCCTCAGTGTAGTCAAGACAAGGGGAACAAGTGAAATTTTAGAAACAGAAGCAGTAGATCACAACATTTCAACTTCTACTTGGGTAACAAATAAAAAAAAATTGCTAACAAAAACCAGGCAGTACAATACTATCTGTGAAACACCATTTGGGATAGTGCTGCTAACATGTTCAGATGGAGAGCATTACAGACAGCAATGATCTACCTACTAAGGCACCAGCATGGTGCCAGAGGATGCTACAGGAGAAGTCATCTTTCAGATGTTACCTATAAAAACTGAGTATGATTTGGGTATTTTAAGTCTCCATGCCTCAATATCTGTGTGTCGTCACAAAACCTCAATTTGGGTTACTCCATTTGCAACGTTAATTTTTCCACTTGGCTCAACTCAACAAGGAACTTTATTCATTTCTTACTGTGAGCTCTTCCACAATAATGCAGTAGGCTGTTAAACAGCTCTATAATCCATATGGGAGACATCAATATTTCTCTAGTGGGTAAAATCATTCCTGACCATTCATCTTACAAAAATTCTTACAATTGAGGTGAAATGTAGTCCAATGCTGTGGTTATGCAGATAACAGAAGTACCTATAAACTAAACAACACTGTGAAATTCTCAAGGGGACCACCAATTAAAAAGCCTCATACATATAAAGCAGAATTACTTTGATTTTGGGAACCTCTCTCATTAACCCCAATACCCCCTGGCTAGGTAACACACGATAATCCAGAAATTAAATTCTCTGAAGAATTGACCAGCTCAATTTTGCTGTAAGCAAGAACACCTACCAAAAATAAGGATGAAAGCTGTGAGTAAGGCTGCTGGCAATGACTTTGACAGTTCCAGCACTGTGAGGTAGGCGAAGGGAACAAGGCAGGAGCCAAGGAACGCACAGAACTGCAGAAAAAGAAGATCTCAATAGAAGTTATAACCCTCCCCAAGGTGAATATGTACCCACAACCTTTCCCTGCCTTCATCTTCCACACCTACCAACAACAGGAGGTGTTGCAGTAACCGAACTGACTTACTAAGAACATCGGACAAAAGCCAAATGAACAAAAATACTGTGCAGAGAAGGACAGATGCTTACTCTGTTCTGCACAGGTGTCAGTAACAACAGTTGGTCATTCTCTTGCTAGACTACATCAGATATTCAGAAAAAGATACATCAAGGAGGTGCACTACACCATATTCAACTTACTTTGACCAGATACTAGAATATGAAATTGAAGAACAAAATGCAGCTGTACTTTACACCTTTAGTGGACCAGTATCACCTCCCCTACACAAATAAGACCAAGGATAGTTGGAGGAAGAATATAAATCAAAACAAAAAAAAAGCGGCATCACAGTAAAATTTTGTTCTCTTCAATGTCTGGGTCTAGCACTTCTCCCACCTTCAGCTCAGGGAAATCTAGAATCATGAATTGCTGGAGACCCAGAAACTAAACCAAGAAAATATGCCTTCACAGTTTTTATTCTTCTTTCTAGGTACTAGCAATTGGCCACTGTTTCTTCTTTTGGCTCCTGTTATCTGCTGCCAGTTTTATGGCTCCTGGTCTTCCTAGAGAGCAGAACAGTCAGGGTCCCAGATAGAATACCACTCTGAACAGTAATTTCCCGCCCTGCTCCATTAACGTACTCAGCTTAGTGTCACCGGTGGTGGCAAACTGCAGATGGCAGTGGATGATCCTGGCTTTTCAACATCCTTGGCTCCCCAGCAGAGCAGCCAGGCACAACGGAGTGAGTAGAAGCCCAAGCTCAGCAATGTTCCCTCTGCAGAACAGGCAAGATACCTGTCCCACTCAGGAGTATATTCCCACTAATTAGCAGCAAGAATTGGACTCAATAATCACCTTACTTTCTTACCTGGCCTCTCACAGGCAGACATTAAGACTTATTTAAAATACAACCGCTAACGCCATTCTAAGGAGCTTAAAGACAAGGCACAAGGCTAAACAGACCTCTGATCTGATCCAGGAGAGCTGTTCTTATGACATAACGCTCTGTACTGAAAAGCGCAGGAGCGCTAACCAGCTTGATACTAGCCTGTAGAACCTTACCCCTCTCATTCCCACGTAGTTGTGCTGCTCATATCTGTCTCCTGGCTTTTGGAAAGGAAATGTACCATCATATCCACTAAGGTAGCCAGCAAGTCCAATCAGCATCTGAAGAAGAAAGGTGAAAAAACTAGTCAGGGAAATCGCATTGGAGGAAGAAGTATCCAAGCCAGCCAGCAGGCAAGATCTTTATAGAAGCCAAGTCTGATCCAGAGGATAACTGCTTAACTCAGACACATCATCCAAACAAGAGTTTATGCATTAACTGAATTCATATGCATACATATTGCCCTTTGTCTAAAGGCAAAATCAGAAGGGATGAAAAGGACTTTGGCTTCTGACTATAGGGATGACTGCAAGCTCAAAACAAATACCAGGTATGGGATTTAGCAGAGACAATTCTCTCTGTAGATTCTCCCTATTCCTATAGTTTGAGGAGACTCAGCCTGAAAGGAAGATAACCTTTCTGAGGTAGGAGGAGCACACCTTCATCAACACTGCACACTGTTGCTAGAACAAGTTCTTTGATTACAGAACACCAAGTCAAGGCTTTCAGGGTCCTTTGTGGTAGGCATCTCATTTGCACATAAGCTATCAGGAATTGTTTGGTTCCCCTGAACTGTAGGTTTCTATTACATATCCGCTCCAAACCACGTAAGTGCCATGTTCATCTCTCAATTTCAAGCCTTTCAAATACCCAACATGCAATACTGTTTTGTTTTCCCATATTCAAAGTATTTTCACAAAGAAGAGAAGATGCAAGTTGAGGCTCTGGGTACAGAATGCAAATTACCATGATGCCAACAACAGTTAGGAAAGGTATTGGTGTTCATCACATCCTTCAGATAGAAGGAAGGGGAAGACTTTTGTTGGCCCTAAAACATGTAACAGAAGACCAGTTTACCTTCCCCAAAGGAGGGTGGACATCAAAGAAGAAGGTCCGATTAATGTAGTAACTTCCCATCTTCCCAAAATGAGTTTCATCCCAACTGGGAAAACAAACAAACAAACAAACAACCTGCTATAATGTTGAAGACAGTAAAAAAAAAAAAATCCAGGAAGGTCTTTTTACTCACACTTTTCATCATATAGAGGGTTAGTGCCACACATTTGATATGAGACAATGCATTAAATTGACTGGGAAATCATGGAGCGTAGTTCAGCCACTCTAGGCAGTGTCCTTTTTAAAGAGTTTGATATTAGCATTCCAAAACCTCTAGTCTGCCCTTCTGATTCCCAATTGAGCTTAGAGATGTTGAAAGCTCAGCGTGCAACCCACAGATCCCCAAAACCGCCTCGCCGAGACTCGCTGCCCTCTCCGCAACA